GTCCCTGTGCCCCAAGTCGATTCTCCACACAGCAGCCAGGGCGATCTCTTAAATACCTAAGTTAGATGGAGTACCTTCCAGAGGCGTCCCATCACCCTTGAAGCAAAATCCAAATCCTCACCGAGGCCTGAAAGCCCTTCAAGATTCCGCCCCAGCAATTTCTCCCACCTCCCCGCCTACCATGCCTCCCTTCCATCCTTCCACTGCAGCCACACTGTTCCTGTTCTTCCCCAAACAAACCAAGCTCACCTCTGCCCCAGGACCTTAGCACATCCCCTCCTCCAGGAACACTCACCTCCAGAAAGCACATGGTTCTCCCTTACTTCTTTTTAAATCATCCCCTTAGAGAGGCCTGCCTTAACTACCCTCTAGATGAGGCCCCTTTCCCTCCCTCCTTCATGGGATGTCTCATTAGCTGATGTTATATATCTGTTCCTTTTCTTGCTAACTCTCTGTCTCCTTCACCAGCGATAAACGTCACGAGGGCACAGACTTTTGTCTCTTTTGTCTATCTTGCTCAGTGCCTGATACCTGGCACAAACAAGGTGTTTAATAAATACGTGTGAAATGAGCCCCATGAAGACACTGGGGGATTAGATTCAACACACCTCTCGGCCCTGTTCTCATGCGCCAACGCCAGCGTTCCACTTCCTTGAGTGCTGAGCGGCTTCCAAATATCTCTCTTTGGGTTGGACCTCTTATCTGAGTCCCAGGCTCAAATACAGCAACTGCTTACTGTATATTTCACTGGATTCCTCAAAGACTCCCTAAGAGGATGCCCGCCCAGCCCTGCACACACCGAGGCTGCTCCCGCTTCTTCTGTCCGTGAGCGGTGCCAGCCTCCACGGCCCGCACAAGCCAGACACCCTTCAGCAGAGTCCCTGCTGAAGCCTCCTTCCCCTCTCCCAGCCCCTTCCAACTCATCCATCCCCATGGCCACGACCCTGATCCAGGCCTCCGACGTGTCTCTCCTACACTACTGCTGTCATCTTATAACCCAGGGGTCCCCCACCCCCGGGCGCGGAGCACTACTGGTTCACGGCCTATTAGGAACTGGGCTGCACAGACGCTCCCTGTCGCTCGCATTACCACCTGAACCGCCATCCGTGGAAAAACTGTCTTCCACGAAACCGGTCCCTGGTGCCAAAAAGGTTGGGGACCGCTGTTATAACTGGTTTCCCTGTATCCACCTGTGGGCCCTTCCACCTGTCGTGCTCACAGTGGGCACCTGCGGCCTTGTCACTCCTGTGCTTGAATCTGTGGTCGCTCCCCTCGGCTCTTAGGATAAAGAGCAGAATCCTTAACCGGGTCTCCAAGCGGGGTGGATGCTCTACCAGGACACACGGATGCAGCTGTGCAGGTGGTCAAAGGCTGAAATCCCTCCATCCTTCTTGGTCAGTCCCCCTACTCCTGCCGTTCTTGTCCCTCCCCAAGACCCTTCTCCTCACTCGGCAACCAGAGGGTCAACGTGGGGCTTGGCAGGAAACAGTGGCGCACACGTGCCCACACTCGTGATGCACACACACAGGGCTCGGGCCCTGGGGCACGCTGACCCCTTTGTTGGCCGCTGTTGATCATTGCCCCTGCCTCTCCGGTCCAGCACAGCCCTGAGGTCACCTCTCCAGCCTCATCTGGTCCCTGTTCTCTCCACCTGCAGCCGTTCTGGCTGCCACTAAACTCTCCAGGCTTTTCTCTGCCTCTGGAATGTTCTTCCCTCCCCTCCCTCATTAACCTCATCTCACCCCTCAGCTCAGTATCTCCTGTTCTAGGAGTCTTCTCTGACCTCCAGCCCTACCCCACATCTTTCTTACACATTCTCCTAACACCCCCTGCCTTTCCTCATGGCTCCTAACATAGTTTGGTCTGCAGATCCATTTGCGTGATTACTTGATTTAACAGCTCTCACAGCCAGTAGACTATAGTTCAGAGACGATGAGGATGATGGCTTTTTTCTTTTTTTAACCACTAAATTCCTAAAGCCCAGCTCTACACGTGAGGAGGTATCCAGGAAGACACTGGTTACCCGGGTCTGAAGGTGGAAAAATGCTTGGATCAATGAAAGACGCAGGTATTCATGGAAAGATACTGGCGTAGGCACATGTAGACATGTGTCCTTGCGTGTGGACTTGTTCTTTTCTATAACTATAATCATGGCGATCAAAATCAGTAGACATAATCTATGCAATAAGAAAGCTGCCCTGAATATTCAGATGTCTCTTAAATAAGCCTCTTTTCACACTACTTAGCGTAATTATTTCTGAGTATGGCAAACAACTCCTATTCTTTCCACGAGACATACTCTTTGAAAGCGTGTTGCTTATATAAGGATCAGCATTTGCCGTATTACTGCTATCATGGTCCACTGGCTCCAAAGATTCAAGCAAAAGCAAATTCTGGAGCCATGACCCCAGGACAAGAGCCTGTTTTTATCTTCTCAAAACAGTGAATGCGCGCTTTAAAAAGAAGAAGCTCTCATCCCGTTAGGAGGACGGGTCTGTGCGCATCACAGGGCAAGGGCGTTGCCCGGATGGTGTGCTGAGGTTAACCGAGGTTCCAGTTCTGGCCCCGCTGCGCCCCACCGTTCAGTCCTCTCCCCCCTCCCCCGCCCAACACACTCCACTCAGAGCAAAAGCCAAATCACCCGTTAACAACAGAAGGAGGCTCCAGCGACGCTGGCACTCCTGGGCGGGTCTGCAGCTCTGCCCCTGCGGCAGCACAAGACAAAGAGCAGCGGGGCCCAGATCTGGGGGAGGGGGTGAAGGAGCCGCGGGGCTAAACCAGTAGGAGGGGCTGTGCACCACGGGGAGCCCTCCTTTCACACACCCGCCCCCCACATCATTTCCTCGCCTGCAGCAGTTAGCAGTTTCCTCTGGCGCTAAGCCCATCGGAAAGCGTGTCCATGAAGTGCAAATATTGCCTCATGCTCGTGGAGCCTGAGATGAACCGAGGAGGTGCCTTAGAGGAGCAACGGCAGAGGGACAGGCCATCCACACGCCGGGGCCTCACCACCAGCAGCCCGATCAGGACCGAGCCCCTCCCGGTGTCATCAGAATCTTCCAATTTCACACGGAAAATCAGCTCTGGCTCAGGGCTTAGGGACATGCGGTTGCCCCCATTTCTGCTAAGTGGCTCCTTTGAGTGCTGGCGTCTTAACCCTTGGAAGGCCTCTGAGGGGCTGGTGCGTCTCAAGTGGGCGCACTGCGGACACTCAGCTGGGTTTCTGGGCCTGAACAAAGGAAGCCAGAACTCGCATCCCTGCCGCCCAGAAATGCATCCGCGGGTGTCCCCACGGGGCTGGGGGGTGGTTGGCGACACCACAAGGACAACTCACACAGCCCCTCTCCTGAGCCCTCTGATCTCAGGACTCTCCCTTGGCCCCCAGACTTTGCTCCTACTGTCTCTCCCCATGAAAGAAATGGGTCCAGAGTGTCAACCTCTCCAAAGGCGACCTTTAGGGCTGTGTGTTTACTTAGAATCACCTCGAATGTCCTCAGGCCTGTGGACGCGCACAGGCTGGGATATTTGGGTGGAGGGATGACAGAAGGGGGCTTTGCTTCTCCCCATCTAGTTTGCACCCCCAAGTCGGTCCACACGCCTGTCTCCCCTCTGAAGTTCACGGCCATGGCTGCTCCTTCATATCACACACCTACTTGTTTCCCATCACACCACCCCCCCCGCCCCATCCTCTCTGATCTTCCAGCTGTGGATTTAGACCACAGAAGACCAACTGGATCCAAAAGGAGTCTTGGCACAGGGTACTGTACACCTTAAGTAGGATGAGGGCCAGGAAAGTGAAGCTGAGGGGCCGGGGCCAGAGGCATGCCGCCAGCGTAAAAGTTAAACTGCATTCCTGGTATTTCCCCCGCTGGCTTGTAAAAGTCATCCAGTCCAGCACAACACGGATGGACCCTGAGGACACCGTGCTCCGTGAAATAAGCCAGTTACAAAAGACATACACTGCATGAGTCCACTGTTATGCGTGAGGTACCTGGAGCAATCAGATTCCTAGAGGCAGACAGGAGGTTGGTGGTCTCCAGGGGCTGGAGAGGAGGGAAGGGCGAGCTGCTGTTTAATGGGTGCAGAGTCTCAGTTTTATGAGATGAAAAGAGCCCTGGGGATGGAGTGTGGATGTACTTAAGGCCACGGAACTGTACACTTACAAACGCTTAAGATGGTCGATTCTATGTTATGTGCTTTTCACCACAATTAAGAACAATTTTTTTAATGGTTAAGATGATTTTTTAAAAAGTCACAATTGGTAACTTGCTTCTCAATCAGAAACGGAATCAGCTGTGTACGTGAACAACTGGCAGAAACAAACAAACACAACAAAAGTCATCCATCCACAGCCCTGGCCACACCCCTGTCCTCCTCCTTGGGAGTAAGATGCTCTCTATTCAGTCAGTGCCTAGATTTCTGGCCCCAAACCTGACTCTCTGTCTTCCAATCCATCCCGCACACTTTCAGTCCCCTCCCCCTCTCCAAACCAAGCCCTGTCACTCAGCACCAGAAGCATCCAGAGAAGCCCTTTCAGCCGCACTCCTTCTCGGTCTCTGTCAGCACAGGACAGAGCAAGTCCTCAGCACCGTTTCCTTCTCAGCCCAGCAGCACACCCACAAAGCCCGCTGGTGGACAAAGGAGATGAACGGCACCACTGACACAGCATCCTTCAAAGGCCCTTCCTCCAGCCCACTTTCAAAGGCCACAGATTTTAAGACTGAGCAGGGGCCAGCCGGAGACTTCTAAGGGGAGAGGCCGCAGGGGATGGAGCTGGGTGCAGCCCACACTGTTCGGGCACCAGCGCTTCTCTATGGGGCCCTGGGCCGCTGCAGGGCCACAAACTCCAGGGTTAGGGCCTTCAGCGGGCGGGAGCCCCGAGGGATGTTTGAGGCCACTGGGAAAAGGTGAACAGAGGCAGATTCAAGCCTTCAGGAAAGGGCACCAGGCAAGAGCCGCTCTTCAGAGACCACATGCCTGCCTGCACCCTGCATCTCACTTACCTGATTACAGGTGTTAATGTCTACCCCATTCCGCAGGTGGTCCAAAGCTTTGTCCAAGTTACCTGATCTTGCTGCCCTCAGAAAGCTGGTAGCAGCATCGGCCTGTGAGGAGAAAGAGAAGCTGTGAGTGGGTCTGTGTGACAAAGATCTCACGATCCATTCAAGCCCAGAGCTGTGAAAAAGGGCCAAGGTCACGGCGGCAGCCAGCACACCCTCCTGTTCAGGTGCCCACCATGGTCCCCAGGCGTGTACGGGCCTGGAGCCCCTGGACAGACCGCTCTCCACCCACGTGCGGGGCAGCCTTTAGAGCTCAGCCTCCCTTCCTGTTGGTGTTTTTATGAGCAAGCGATCTTGGCTAGCACCCGGGAGGGGCCGGCCTTTGAGAGGGTTCCCATTCCACCAGTGACCACTCAGCAGGCCTGGCGTCTCACTGCCTCGATGCTTCCACGGGCTCCGCCTTCCTCCTAAGGAGCCCAAAGCACACTGCCCGGCCCCACCCACTGAGTCACAACTGGAGGCACCACAGGAACCAGACGCAAGCTCTTTGGTGCTATTCTGTGGTTTTGTTTTTAAGTAAACAGCGCGTAGCACTTACTACGTGCCCAGAACCATTATCAGCACTTGACATATAATATGTATCAACACACACACACACAGATGCATTTCGTCATTTAAAATATCCCCAAGAGGTAAGTACTATTGCCGTCCCTATTTTACAGATGAGGGAACGGAGGCCCAGAGAGCCCAAGTGACTTGTGCAGGTTCACACAGCAGGGAAGAGGCACAGCAGGCAGTCTGGCTCTGCCACCTGACCCGGCAGGTGCCCCTCGCCAGTTTTCCTGAATGACAATAAAGCACTTGGGGTCTGTATGCTGAGGCTCAGCCACCTACAGGCACATCCAGACCCTGCCCAGAACATTGGTTTGTATTAGAGATGAATGATGGCCAGAGAGTGAGAGCTGGGGGGATGGAAGACAACTGCAGGGGCTCTGAGCAGCTCCCCTGCGTCTAGGGGGCCCCTACAGTCTGCAGGTACCTCTGCCCCTGTGTTCTTATCTGGAAGCCAGGGAGGGAGGGGGACAAGGCCTGGCTGTGAAGCTGAAAGGAAATATTATACATGACTATAATTATTACATCAGCACAAGCATGGAGCACGGTGCTTGCACACAGTGTGCACTCTGGGTGAGTTTAACAGGTGAGAACTGTCAGGTGACAAGCCACGTGTGAAGTGGGTGGAGGTTAGGGTTGGGGGGCTTATGCCGTTCCTCCAGAAGATCCACCCAGGGGTGCTCTGTCTCCTTCCATGCTCCCCTCGTCCAAGAACGTGCTGTAGTGGGCTGAACCGTGGCCCCCCAAGATACGCCTGCACCCTAACCCCTGGAGCCTCTGAATGTGACCTTACTTGCAAAAAGCATCTTCGCAGATGTAATTATGTTATGGGTCTTGAGATGAGACTGTCCTAGATTACCTAGGTTGGCCCTAAATCCAGTGATAAGTGTCCGTACAAAAGACAGAAGAACACACACACACACACACACACACACACACACGAGAGGTCGGAGTGAAGTGGCCATGAGCCAAGGAAGCTGGCAAGCAGCAGAAGCTAGAAGCTAGAAGCTAGAAGCGGTCAAGAACAGTCTCCCCTGGAGCCTCCGGAGGGAGCGTGGCTCTGCTAACACCCTGATTCAGACCTTTGGCCTCCACACTGTGAGAGAAGATATTTCTCCTGTTTTAAGCCACCGAGTTTGTGGTACTCTGTTAGAGCAGTCACAGGGATGATGGTCCCTAAACATGTTAGATTCAAAGTCTACAGCTGACAATCTCAGCGCCCTACAATGAAACCGAAGCAGGCCTGCACACCTTCACCAATTAAACAGTTAATCCAGGGCAGGAAAGATTCTCCAGGCTTACAGATCTTCACACCGGAGGGCTGCCCCGTGCCCCCATCCCTGCCACCTCAGGCGAGGATTAATCTGTTGGTTCCTCATGAGCTGGATTCCCAGAAAAATCAGGCTCAAGGTTCAGTCCCTCCGAAAATGTCTGTCTGTGCCTGCTGGTTCAGAAAGCCTGTCTGGACTCAGCTGTCTGGAAAAAAATATAGTACATTATTTCCCCAAAATGAGAGCATTAGAGAGAGACACATCTCCCGCGTGTCCAAACTGTCTTCTGCAGCCCAGTCACAGGATGTGGGAGGAAAACCTAAGCATGGTGGATACAAATAGAGGCAACACCAACTAAGGACACTGTCACTATTCAAAGCATCGAATCTAGGAAGCAAAGGAGAACATTTATGACGGACAGACAAGCAGATACACAGAGGGCTGGGGAAGCCCAATCTGGATGAGGCTGAAGAAGGCTCGATAGTTTCTGTTGTGTGTCTAATTGAACCATGAAATTATAATACTAATATCAATCAATTCTATCTTTCAATCCTGATCACAACCTGTGAGGCAGGTATAATGATTATGTCCATTTTAGAGGTGACAAAATTGAGGTTTGGAGAGGTTAATAACGTGCCCAAGTTCTGTGTTAGTTAACACTCAGGGATTCAGCCCAGGACTCCCTGAATCAAGCCAAAACCTTCCTACTGCCCTTGACCCCGAGGTGCATTCTCAGCGATTTCAAACCTGAGGGTGACCAGAAAGCCATGACAGGTGTAGGGGCTGGGAGGGCCCCCATGCCTTTCCCAATTAAACAGTGAATCTATGGCAGAGAAAGGGTCCCCGGCAGGTCCTGGCTCTGACCCTGACCTGCTGTGTTGAGGCCGAGACAGGCCTCTAGGAAGGAATCATCCAGTCCCAGGCCTTCCCTTCCCTGATGATAAAACTGATGGTAAAAATAAAGTGACCGGCTAAGGTCACCTAGATAGTTAGAGGTGAAGTTCAATTGCTAAGGCTTTTTCATTTTCTTTTCAGTCTTCTCTGGGCATAGAGTCGTCAGGACCCAGGTAGGATCCTCAGGGTATCTTACAGGTGGATTGTAGGTAATAATGGTGTCATTCCACTGTGTATCCCCCAGTTTTAATTCTACAACTTATTTCCTGAGGTCCTGTTTCAAGTCCAGAATCCTGCTAGGGCAAAGAGAGAGAGTAAAAATCCTGAATATAGGTCTCTGCCCTCGTGACTTGAAAAACAAAGTGACAGAGTTAGAAAGTGATCCATTCCACAGGCATGCAGTGGGCACCTCCTAGGTGCCAGAGAATATTTCAGCTGCAGAGCAAATGGCCCTCTTTGGAATATGAGACCCACTCTTGCCATCTTGTTCTGCTGAATCTCTAACTCAGTTTCCTGCAACTTAATGACCTGTCCTAGGTGCCGTTTCCTGGTGCGTCTAGGAACAGCCTGTAACCCAGTAGGGCAGAAAGACAGTCAAAAGAATCCAATATGCTCCATTCAGAATATTTACCTGAGTAAATACCAACCAGCAAAACAACAATAATGACAAAATACGAACCAGACTATCTCAGCGCTAGGATAAATTGGAGCAGAGTCTCTGGCCCTCCCTGAGTGCCCCGTCCCTGCAGGGCAGCCTGAGAGAGGCCTCTCTGTGTGGAGGGACCAGAGGAGCTAAAGAAAGCTGCTCGTTGCGTCCAGAAAAATCAGTCCACGATGGCCCTAAACCCTGTACCACCACCGAGAGCTGTCACCCCTGTGAGCACACATACCAAGGCTGCCCACTTGCGCCTTTGCCCCTTCCTCATCTTGAGCTTTATTTTAACCTAATTTTACCCTTGAGGAAACTGCCGGCACTGAGGGGAGGAGGGGTCGCACACATCTCATTGCATACGCGGCCCACATCCCTACAGATTAACCCACGTGATGTCCCCGAACTTCTTTTCACAATGAAACAAGTCACCTTTATAAAGCCCTGCCTATGTGTTAAGCCCTCTGCACCAATGACTTCACTGGCTCCGCCCAATAATCTCCAGAGGCAGGTACTTTCATTGTCTCCTCTTCACAGATGAGGTAAACGAGTCACAGAGACGTTAAGCATCTTGTCCGAGGTCACACAGCGAATCCTGGCTGGGCAGGAATCTAAGTAGTGCTTCCTCACTAGCCATGTTCTAGTGCCCAGAGATTCCACTCCAGTTCAGCTCTGGCTGGAGAGAGCCTTCCGCCTCTCAGCACTCAGAGGCTGTGCCCACTTCAGCCCTCGCTTCAGGAGGAAGGAAGCAGAGGGGAAAGGAAGGGAATGGAATTCCTCTTGGGACTCAAGTTCTCATCAGGGCTGCTCATCAGAAAAGGGAGGTGAACCCTTGGTTACCTGAGACGCCCGACTATTATTAAACTTGCACTTCCTGAGTGGGGCAGATACGAATATAGCAATAGATAAGTAGCAGAGGGGACTCCAGTGTCCGGGGAGGGAGAGCCGGAAGCAGGGAGCTAAATGTCAGCAAGCCTGCACCCAGGGGCAGGGAAGGCTGCCGAAACACCGGAGCCAGGTGGAGTCTAGGTTTAGACCAGTTGGGAGAACCCAGGGCCTCCTCACGCCTTCTCTGGGGCTTGAGATGGCCTCAGTTTTCCCAGAACAAATCATGACTGACTTTTTCAAGGTCTCCCAGTGCAAAATCTCATCTCAAAAGATGAATGGAAACTGAGCTCTCATTAATTTCTGTAAACAGTGATAAGACAGTATCTCCTTCCCAAAGGGTCTTGCTTGGGCAAAAGGCAGAGTCCCTGTCAGAACTCCCAGTAGAGGTTCTGGACCTTTTCCTGAGGGGCTGCAGCACATCCAGAAGACCCAGTACAGCAGGCGGTGTTTGGCCTGTATATGGGGGGTGCCCTTCACATCTGAGAGTGCCTTCATACCCAGCGCCCGGGTGTTCCTTGGAGCCCACGTCGGGCCTCCAAGAAAGAACAGGCAGTGCCCGCCCGCACACACCTGTGTGGCCCCTGCATTAGGCTACTGACGACAGAGACACAGAAGTGAACCCTGGGCCTCAGTGTGCGCTTTCATTAGGTTTCTTTCCAGAAGTTGTGCTATTAAAGGTGTCACTGAGGAAACGAGATGTGTAAGCCAGAGTCCCGGGTCCTCTTATGACCTCTCCGCACAAGTACAAGGCCTTGGGGAAAACCCCGACCGTTCCTGCGCTTTTCCAGCCT